CCCCAAAACCCCAAAACCCCAAAACCCCAAAACCCCATATTTTTACTTACTTTTTGAAATTTAAATATTAGGAATTCAAATGGCTTCAAAAGATGCCTTCCATCTTCATACAGATCTGCCTGATGATAGAAGAATAGAGAAAGAACTTCGATTTGCTATTGATTACTTAAATGCTAACAGACTTTCAGAAAGTGCTAAATGGGCTTCAGAATTATTATCCTCTTTGAAAAGTAGGAAATCTGCGAATTCGTCAATGACTACAAGCTTTATGCAAGATTCCCTCTTAGAAGGTGGAGTTCATAAAGAAAGAGACAATGATGCTGATGATATGGAAGAAGATGAGCAGGAAGAAATAATAGATCCATCTACATTCACAAATGACATCGATAGATACCCTATTGATAATGCTCAATCTTTTGACTACACTTTCTATGAAAGAAAGAGTAAGGCAAATGATGCTGTAAATTGTGCTCGAATTCTATTTGATCTCCGTGAATATCGCAAAGCATGCTTTAAAGTAAAGCCATATTTACATCCACGTAACCAATCCGCAATCTTCATTTATTATTACTCCCTCTTCATGCTTTCAGAGCAGCAAACCGAAGAAGAGCGGTTTCAATCTTCAGAAAACATCTCCCGCTCTTGAGTGACTAACCCAGATATGATCACTATCGAAAATGCTCTCACCGAGTACCAAAAGAAGGATCAACTAAATGCACTGAACTTGTACCTCTTCGGGGTTGTATTAAAGAAGAGAAATAAATAAGGAAAGAGCCAAAAATATACTCATTCAATCCTTAAATACATATCCTCTCCTCTGGGGAGCTTGGACAGAGCTTAATATGATTTTGAAGAAAGAAGATCAAGATTTAATTAAAGAAAATTTACTCAATCATTGGGTCAAAAACTTTAACATTTCGTCATATTTCAGACAAGTACAACAAGAAAACGACTCTATCACTGTTAATGGAGCATTAAGGAGATATTTCCCAGATAGTGTTTACATTCTTAATGAGATTGGTCATGCATGTTACTTAAGCCAAAGATTTGGAGTAGCCCTTGATATTTTCAAAAGACTAATGTCTCTTGACCCATTCAGGTATGAAGACATGGATTTGTACTCAAACATTTTATATATCCAGGAAAACTATGGAGAGCTTGCTTCACTTGCTTATAAGACTTTTAAATGTGATAAATACAGACCAGAGACATGCTGAGTACTAGGAAACTATTACTCTTTAAGAGGAGATCATGAGAAAGCGGTTCTTTATTTTAGAAGAGCTATTAAACTCGATTCAGAATTCCTTAGCGCCTGGACTTTGATGGGCCATGAATTCTTGGAACTAAAATCCACAGCTTCTGCAATAGAAGCTTACAGAACAGCTGTTGATATTGACCCAACTGATTTTAGGGCTTGGTATGGTTTAGGACAAACATACGAAATACATCAGCTCTATGATTATGCTTCATTCTATTTCGCAAATGCAGCCTTATCAAGGCCTCAAGATGCAAGGATGTGGTCAGCATTAGGAGAATGTTATCAAAATAACAAAAAGACAAGAGATGCAGCTAAATGATTTGAGAAGGCTGAAAAATTCAAAGACACAGAGGGAATTGCTCTTTACAAACTTGCAAAAATATATGTTGAAATGGTATTTCCCAATATTAAACTATAGAACTTCTCGAAAGAAGAAGCTGCCAAGTTCTTCAAAGAAGACTTAGAAAGAAGAGATCGTGAAAATTATGAAGGGAAAGAGACTCAAGAAGCATTAGCATTTTTACTCAAATTCTATTACGATAAAAAGAATGATACACAAGCTAAGAAATACGCTGAAAGACTGATAGAAATGAATGGACCTGAAAGAAGAATGGCAAAGGAAATCTTAGATAAAATAGAGTCTCCATTTTAAAAAAGACTTGTATTTTGAACTTAATTCTCAGACTAATTTCTGAAGATAATGAGTTTAAGTTGTAAACCTTCCACATGGAAATATAATAGATAGTTTCAATAGGTTCTATAGAATCGGGGTTTTGGGGTTTTGGGGTTTTGGGGTTTTGGGG